TCTAAAAAAATGGACAAGGCTATTCAAGGGGTTTTAAGTTATGCTGTATTGTTTTTAACGTATCTAATGTCAGACTAGGCTCTTTTATAGGGGTACTACATGTATACAAAAAACCAATATAAACTTATATTTAATTAACAAATTCAACTAGTACTATATTCTGCTGAATGCTTCTCAGAATACTAACCTTCAAACATTCTTTTAATTCTCAACACAAATAAGGGACTGACGAGGTCCATACTTTAAAATCTAGAAGGGGTATACATAAAGGGTGCACCTATTCCTTCGTTCGGTCGGAATATTCTAAATTCCCAATATATATACACTCATTTCAGCACCTTACATTTTGATCCATTTAAAAATTATTAAAAGCTTTTCCACTTCGGTTTCCATCTTTCAACTAAAACATTTACGTTTCCCATACTTTTTTTTTGGTTTGGGGGGGTTGGGGGGGGGTGCTACTTATGGCCTATTTTCTTAAGTTATCAGCACGTATACCCCTCCCATGACGACATGTAGGGTGGGGAGCTACTTATCTGCTATTTTCTATGTTATTAGCACGCATGCCCCAGGTCTCATCATCATATTAATTTCCTGTTAGTTTTTTAAACTCATTTGGGGATCCCATTTGTTCTTGGCAAATGTCTACTCCAACTTATGTGCACTTTGTAAATTCATTAAGTTTGAAAGAAAGGTTTAAGTCTATAACAAGTCATGTTTAATAATATTAAGGTGTAACTTACATTTAGTGATAGCCAGAGAACAATTCAATAAGCTAGTTGTAAGAGTTTGATATGCCTACTTAATCTTGAATGGACGCGAGCACTAAACAGTGTTTAAAATCAGCAAGCAATCAAAAATTAATGTGTGCATTAATTGGTAAGTAAAAAATATTAGACGCTATTTTGATATATGCATTAACTAATTTGTGCATTAATCAACAAGCAAATAGAATACAAAGAACAGGGTTCAATTTGAGGTATAATCTTTGCAAATGGGTATGAAAAACAGTGATCGCCACAGTTTTGCAAATAGAATACAAAGAACAGTAATCTTTGCAAATAGAATACAAAGAACAGGGTTCACTTTGAAGTATTGCCTATTTTCTTATGACTACAGTGATCGCCACAGTTTTGCAAGTAGGCAGTATTCATATTAATATTTGGAAGGTGGAAAAGGGGATTACTTCCCAACATCAAACAGTTTATTAGTGCTCACTTATCAGATTGAGTTAGCCACATGCTTACTGAATTATATGATTATCATCCAATGCTTTTCAAATGGAAATAAGATCAACAGCAACTGATTGAATAATAACTAGTCAAACAGTTTTTCACTACCTTTAAAAAAAATTCTTTTCAAAAAATATATAATACAGATAGCTGGAATGCAAGTAGAAATGGAAGGTGAAGATGACCCTAACTCATGATGTAATGCTCGTTATCCATGGTTCACCAATCATAGTCTTGTTCTCAAAATATTTCTAGTGCCAGCCTCAAGAAAGAAACTAGTTTGAGTGGTAAAATTCCTTGCAAAATGAACTACTCTCCTACTTTGGATGTCTTATGCCTAATTTTTCTGCTTTTTTTTTCCTTCTTTCCAATGACATCAAAATGATATGTTCCTGAACCTATTTTTCAAAATCCATGTATCTTCGAATCCATTCAACATGTCACTCTACTTAATCCATGATTAGGAAAAAAAATTCAACTTACTTCAAAACTATCGACCCGCTAGCATTAAATAACACCTTATCACATACAAAATGAAAGAAGAAGAACAATATCCAGAAATTACAGGATTAGTTCTTAAAACAGTAACCAAAACTAGGTGAAACATCACACAAAATTAACCACAAAATATATATATATATATATAACTGATGGGCAGAACAAATTTATACCAAGAATCAAATATTAATGGTTTCCAACTATCAAAAATTTTCCTATTCGTATCATATAAGCAGTTGATTTCGAACTATTTACACAAATATACAAAGAAAAAATAATTCCATGAAATTCTAGAAATCTAACAACAAATTAATCAAGAAGAAGCATGGTACCCCGCCATCAACGAACTGATTGGCCATCGCCAGAGATCCCAACGAATCCCTACAATCAAAATTAGAAGGAAAAAAAAAACCCCAATTTTATCGGATAAACAAGAAAAAGATCAAATCTTTTAAAAGAAGAAAAAAGAAAGGACAAATTTTCAAAACCAAACCATTTGATAAACTAATTGCAAAAAACGACCCGTTTCAGATTTATTTAGAGAAACCGACCTGGTTTCAGCACTGTCGCTGAAACCAGGCCGGTTTTTCTAAAAAACTTTACGAAACTTCATGGGAGTTCAACTCCCGTGAAGTTTTTTCTCATAACAAAACTTCACGGGAGTTGAACTCCCGTGAAGTTTTGGAAACTTTTTTTCAAAAACCGACCTGGTTTCAGCGCTGAGGCTGAAACCAGGTCGGTTTTTGCAAATAAAATTGAAATGGATCTTTTTTTGGGAATAGTTTATCAAATGGGTTGGTTTTGAAAATTTGTCCAAAAAGAAATGAAAGATTCTTACTTTCTCCAGACCTTTGATTGTGGATCTACAGTATTATAATTAAAGAATTACACAATATAAGTATTGTACATATGCTTTGACTTTTTGATCCCCGGCGTTATCTAATTTGACCTAATTTCGGATTTTAATGGGATTAGATTGAGTTAAACTTTGATTACAGCTTGATTAACTGTCGATGGCAGTGAATTACAGAAGGGCATAAATGACTTTCTAACGTATGTCTTCATATTTCCATATTTGTCCTAGGGTTATTATAGATATTTTTATTTTCTTGGGATTTTCTTGTACAAGACCCTAATTTTATTTAAATATTTTACATTGGTGCTCTAAATCTTTATATTTCTCATTTTGTACGTTCACAAATTTTTTAAGTGAAATAACACTCCCAAATGAAGCTTTATCCAAACATATTATCTTAATTCTTAATGGTCATTGGCTAATACTTCGTATGCCAAAATATTCGCTCTTTTTAAGGCATAAGAAAAAAAAAAGTATGGAGCTTATCTGGTCTAGCATGAATTTTAATGTACATATCACGATAAGATATCTATGTAGTCGAACTTTATATTAGTACAGTTTCAAAGTCATAGTTACAATTAGTATAGTTTGTATTTATGGAGGACAAATTTTCTAAACCAACCTATTTGGACTTTTATTCCCAAAAAACGACCACATTCAAAAATAATTGCAAAAACCGACCTGGTTTCAGCCTCAGTGCTGAAACCAGGTCGGTTTTTGAAAATAAATGTGAAACGAGTCTTTTTTTGGGAATAAAAGTTCAAATAGGTTGGTTTTGAAAATTTGTCCTATTTATAGATAATCTGACGACCGCCACTAAGTGATATATTAATAATATTTGCGTTAAGATTCATGCTAATTCAAATATCTTTATCCCAAGTCTTTCTATGGTATTTTCTCCTCATTAGGCCTAATTAATTGATGATTAAATTACGGTATTAGATTACATTACCTAAATTTTCATGACTAAAATTTCACACCTTGATTAACCGACACGAATCATTTATTTTCACTGCTGCGCATGACAAGATAATTAAGAGCAGTATATTTAATGCTTTCCACATGTTCCATTCATTGTCCTGAGCATTGAGTTATATCCCAACAAGAGGACATTCTCAAAACAGTCCCAAAAGGTTTATTATTTTTCAAAATCGACTCATTTTTTTTATCAAAATCGACCTACTTTTTGTCACGTGAGTTTAATGAAGTTCCTAAACAGTCGGGATTGCCAACCCCGACTATTTAGGACATAAAAATTTCTGGTTTAAGTGTTCTAATTAGGATTTACATTTTGAAAAATAAAAATCTTTTTGGGCTGTTTTAAAAATTTGTTCATCCCAATAATCATATGATCTGTTATTCATCAAGGTTTACATTTTCACTTTTTTTAATCTACCTCATTAGCAAACAACACTAAAAGACTTAAAAAGATCATTAAACAACGAAAACTATATTTAACTGCTGCTAAATTGTCTCCCATGTGGACAGCTGTGATGCTCATCACCACTCGACCCTCAACAGGAAGGAACAAATTAAGGAACGCGCTGTACAGCTCCTCCTCACTGGCCCACGGACGGCGCTCGTGGGACCCACACGTTAGAATTGAGATGTTCATAATTATTTATGATTTAGTGGACCACTATTATTTAGAATTATTCTCAACAATTGACTAAATAATTCATAATTTTAGGAGTCAAGTATACCTCATTCAAGATAAATAAGTTTTCTCCTATAATCATGAACTATTCACAACAATTGACTAAATAACTCATGATTATTATTCACAACAATCGACCAAGCTCGCAGAATTTTCACTTAACGCGTTTTAATGCCAGTCTTTTATATCAATCCGTGAAATTATTACAATCTAAGGATATTATTGTTTCACAGTAGTGACCGAGCAAGTGGTCAATGTGTCGGTGGACGATCATCTAACTTATTAATCAAATTATTAATCACCCACATTCTCACTGACCAATTA